CATATCAGTGTAATGAGCCGGAATACTCTGAGCGTTAATGTGAACCACATTGAAGTTCTGCGATGCATCAGAAAATACCGAAACGAGTGTCTCATTTAATGACGGTAAACTACAAAAGCTTTCGTCGTCTGAAGTTAATGATAAATACGCATCAGATTCATTGTTAGTACTAGTATGTAACATGAGTGTGTAATATGTACCTAATAATGTATATAAAATGTAATAATATGTAATATTAATAAACTAATAAATAACAACAAAAATATACCTATAATATAATACTATGCGTTATGTATGAGGTTGGTGTTCAAAATCTGCACTACCTATATCCACCTGCCAGTTAGCCTGTAAGAATTTTAAAACAACAAAACAAGAAATCACCCATTAACGACAACACAGGCAAGCAAAAAATAAATAAAAAATAACAAATAAAGATAGCAACACAAAATAGTAAAATAGTAAAAACAGTAATAGTAGGTCCGGGCAATCGAACTAAATAATAAAATGAGGTGAGAAATATAATACGCTAATAAATGACAAAAATAAACGAATTTGAATTTAAAACATGCATGCAGTTCGTAAAACGAAACGTTTTAAGTGACAGTTAAGCATGACAGTGACATTAAAGACAATGATAAGAGTTACGAATGAAATGAACATAAATTGTAAACAAATAAAATACTACTACCTTTTCAATGTAAATGTAAGAAAAATAATAAAATTAATATGAAGGTGATACTACAATATTACAAATACAACAATCTAAAACAAAAATACCCGATTTACCCAGACTACCTACAGAAAGACAAGAAAATAGAATTGAAAAATTTATAATACTTATTTTCGGGTTGCTGCACGCCTTGCCCTGGACATAACCACCTTCCCGGCAGCCGCAATGACAGGCTGGGCCACATCCTGTCCAGGCTGTTTTAAATCGATCCTGTCGAGATCGTCTCTGGTTGTAACCCGATGTCGAGCGCCTTTCGAGTCCAGGACAAAGATAATGCCCTCCCTCGTCCAACACTGATTGACCCCGAACCTCTCTCGTGCCGCCATGAAGATGCCGTGTCGGGATTTAGTCAAAAACTCGGAGATCGTGACACCCGAGCCCTTGCACTTGGTTTTTCCTCGCCAGATGTTGTTACGGAGAGCCAGGTTATGCAGCTTAAGCAGAATGGGTCGAGCCTTTTGGGTAGTCCGTCCCATCCGGTGGCACCGCTTGATATCAGATGGCTTTATATCAAGATTGAGGCGGTCCTTGACAACTTTTACGACCAATTGGGTAGTGTCCTCTTCCTTTGCTTCTGACTCCGACACACCGTGAAGAAGAAGTATCTTACGCCGGCTGTGCATCTGCATATTGTCCATGCTCTGCACCAGAAAGCCCACTTGCTGCTGGAGAACACAGAGGAACTGCATAATGAAGCTCCGAAATGCTATGTACTCCGCTGTTAGTACTGGTGTGGCATCTGTTGCTGCTCCTGTGCTAACCCTCTGCTCTTGCTCAAAGTCGGCCATGCGCTGCTTGAACATGCTGGTCATCTCAGACACTAAGCGTGGGACGTCCTCCATGATATTACCAGTTGTGCAAGTTTTCAGTGTAAAGTGCTTATAATGTTTTGTAGCTGGTTGAGAACACTGGACAGGCAGGTAGCACTGATTACTATTTTATTTAAGGCATTAAACTAATAATAAAGTAATTATAATTATATTTTAGCAATTTATAAATCAGAGCTTTACAATTTTAGTGTTTACTCGGTGACTACCCGCAATCGTACTGCAAAAGAATCTTATAGCAACTAATTTTATTAGTTATATTGCATAAAAATAAGACAAAACTATAAGTACGTTATTAAGTACCGATTTTTCAATCATCAGTTAATTCTTAACTGTAGAATAAAATTGACATTTGACAGTTTTTAATTTGGAAGAATTGTCAAATATTCAAAGTTTTCCGTAAGTGTGAACCAGACCCGTGAGTACGGCGCGTGATGTTCCGCGCGCGCATCAAAGAGCCTTCAAGCCACCACAGATGGGGCCCAGTAGGGCTGATGCCCGATACGGAGCCGCGGAAGGCCTAACAGGTTGCCGGGGCTCCGGCTCGAAGTGCAAAAGTGATTTTTAGTCAGTAAGAGTCTGACCACAGTATAAACATATACAGTAGGTTGTCTAAGGCCGCCCGCCGAGTTATTAGCCTACTCTTGCGTTGATCCCCAGGGTTGTCACTTTTACTTTTAGTTAATATTTTCGAACAAGCAGCACTTGATCTAAATTTATGAAATGAAAAGCATATTATTATTGAATATTTTATCAATTTATAAATTTAGTAAAAATAAAAAGCTTATAAAAAGATTATTAACTTCTTAAAATAAACTTTAGCTCTATACATAGTATTCAGAAAGTAAATTTGGGAATACATTTATATGGAAAAATGCGACTCGGCTACGTTCTTAACAAATCAGATAAACTGTGAAATAAACAATACAATACCACATTTTCTTATAATATTTAAGTATAGTAGGTAATTACATTTCTGGTTGAGTAGGAACTATGAAGAATGATAAGAGTAAGAATAAGTAAGTAGGTATCTCATCATCAAGTACCTACAAATTATATTATGCTAGAAAAAGTGACTAGCTTACCTTTCCTGTTCAATAGGTACCTAATCTGAACAGAGACAGTTCTGGAATCAATTAATTATTAAGACACCCAAACACACAGCAATACGTTCTTCTACGATTATCAGACATTTTTTATTTCATTGAACAGTGCCGAAAAGCCGTGAAGCGCGCGCGTACCTCGTGCAGTGTTAGCCCTGCCTGGCGCACTGAGAAACGGGTCGAGATTTTGTTAAAGTGTGCGTGCGTCGACGCATAGATACTATGGCGCACACATATAAGCCGCGCGCGGAGCATTTGTATGAAGATAACCTACTTTGTTCTTTATACTATGGTCTGACACTACCTCTCGCCTCACCCGGGCGGGAGAAGTCATTGGATGATTTATTTTCCCCCTCAAAAAAAATAAAGCACAAATGGATTAAAAGTTATTAACTACTAGTAACTCTTTACCCAACTCTGTCTATCAAGACAAGATTAAATAAATTAAAGCCCAGCTTTTTCATTTTGTAATAAACAACACGTAACGGGTAACCGTAGAGTGATCAATTAGAATGTTTAGATTATAATCTGTTGTGAAACCGAACCCACACTTACTGCGGTGAAGTATTGCAGAAACTCTTGATCAACAGGAAAGCTTGCACTAATCGTTCATGATGGCGTACTCCTAGATACAGCCAACGTTACAATAATTAGTTTATAACATCGATGTAGCTACAAATTGCATTGTCTTATAAAGTCGAACAATCATATTATGTCCTTTTCTATATGGAAGGTTAAGCTGAGGCTAATCATATTTATGAAATAATGAATACTTAAGAAGAGGAGTAAGCTACTATGTGCGTAAGTTTGGTAAATATTCCTTTAAACATTCATTCATTCATTACATTGTTTTTAAGCTGATGCTCTAACGCCCAAATACTGAAAGGTTACTCAAAGTTGAATTTAAATGTCGTGCCATCTCTGTCATTTTACATAGAATTTATAGTGACGGAACTATACTTAAGCATCACCGAAAATTGAGTAGTCTTTCAGTATTCAGGCGTATAGGAGTATAATACTAGCAGCATAAAAATTGCTTCACGAGTGTTGCCTTTCATATCATTGTTCATAGTCTGTATTATGTGTGTATCTTCATTACTAATCTCGAAATCCTAGGTTTCCCAAGACACACAATGTTTCAGTGATCTTCTCGATTTCAAAACTATTAGTTATTGCATGATGATTTGTATGTAGTTTATCTATCTCTAAAGCTAAATTGACAACTTTGTCTACCTCTTCACAAACTACAGACAATTTACTTGTAGCATTATTTTGTTCTATATATTTTGTATTAAAGATTTCCAAATCTTTCATGTCCTTGGTCCATACAAGCTCTGTTAACTCTTACATATTATTATCATTACCTTCATTTGTTTCCATTGCTACTCTGTCGTAATCATTGATTTTATTTCGTACGCTACTTTCGCTTAATTTTTTCTTATTTGGAAATATTGTTCTTGCAATTGTATCAACATCAATTTCGTCTAATGATATCTTTGTATTGTTTTCTATAAGTTATAATGTCTAATATGGGTATCTAATGATGTTATTATTGTTTGACGTACGTACTTTGATCAGTGAAATACTATTGCATTACTTTTTTACTTTTCCTCGTTAGTTTAATTTTTATGTGTATTTTCTATCGTAAAGTTTCGTATGTCTTGTATCATGTTTCATCTATTATTTGCTGTGGGATCTTTTTCTTATCCTGTTTTCATCCATGGGTTTATTTTTAGTAGTTGTATGTTAAGTATTTACTCTTGAATTCTATGCGTATGCAATTTATTTGTGTTTTATTTTTAAGTTATTTTGTTATCGATTATAATATGTGTTTCTAATAAAAGTGAGAAGAAAGAGGGCACTGATAGAATAAAAGCACAAAGTGAACATTCCACACATTTTTATTAAATCAGCCTCAACTCAAAGTACACGTACTTTGTCAAGTTACATTATAACAAAGCATATAAAAGCTAAAAAAATAATAACAGGTAATTATCTACAACTGCAGGCCGCGCGTCAAAAGTGACGCTATGCGGCCGACCTATTGTTCGTCGACTGCAAAACTACGAATATTTTTATTTGCATATTTCAGATCAGTTTTTGGTCAATTCTCGTAAAATGGTAACAACAAAAGGATCGATATTTCTCAACTATTTAAGTTAGAACTCAAAATTCGTTCAGCAATTCACCGCAACATAGCCGTCACATCATTGGCCTGTGAGCGGACAGCACCAACATTCACAAAATTTAGCAAAAATATACAATACACTAAAAATACTAATTGATCACATTTCTGAACTTAACCTACAAGGTACAAGGTGAGACTTAGCCTAAGGTCACTCAGTGCCAACCGTGGTGTTGCTGGGGCTGGTGGTGCTCGTGGTGGTGGTGCTCCTCCTCCTTCTTGATGTAGAAGGGAACATGCACCTTCACGGGGTAAGGCACCTCCTTCACCAATGGGAATGGCACGTCCTTGTACACTGGATAAGGCTTGTCAATGGGGACCTTCACTTCGAAAGGCACTTTCTTCTCAACGGTGTATGGGATCTTCTTGTACACGTCGTAAGGTTTGGGCACTGGGACCTTGATGTGGACTGGGTAGGGCTTCTCAACCTCAACCTTGTAAGGCTTGTCAACGGGACCTTGACTTCATAGGGCACAGGCTTGTGGACTGTGACGGGGTAGGGCTTCTCAACAGGGACTGGGTAAGGTTTGGGCACGTACACGTTGTAGGGCTTGTCGACGGGCACTTTCACTTCATAAGGCACCTTCTTGATGACTTCGTAGGGTTGGGGTACTTTGACTTCGTATTTTACGGGGACTGGGACCTTCTTCTCAACAGTGTAGGGTTGGGGTACGGGGACCTTGACTTCATAGGGGATCTTCTTTTCGACGGTGTAAGGAGTGGGCACCTTAACCTTCACTTCGTAGGGCTTGTCGACGGGGACCTTGACTTCATATGGTACCTTCTTCTCAACGGTGTAGGGCTCAGGCACGTACACGGGGTATTTGACGTACTCCTTCACGGTGACGGGGACTTTCTTTTCGACGGTGTAGGGCTGGGGCACATGTACTTTAACTTCATAAGGTACTTTCTTCTCAACGGTGTAGGGGACGTGCTTCTCAACGGTGTATGGGACAGGGACCTTCTTAATGACTTCGATGGTCTTGACGTGTTCGTGGTGTTGGTGGTGATGGTGTCCGTGGCCTTCATCAGAGGCAATGGGTTTCCAGCCACCGCTGGAGCCACCGAAGTCACCACCGCCATGTCCGTAGCTGTCACCACCCCCTTGTCCGTAGCTGTCACCGCCGCCGTGTCCGAAGCTCTCGCCACCTCCGTGACCGAAGCTTTCACCACCGCCGTGTCCGAAGCTCACGCTTTCGCCACCGCCGAAGCTATGTCCTCCATAACCTCCCTCACTGCTGCCACCACCGCCTCCATAATGACCAAAGTCATAAATTCCTCTCTTCTCCTGCTTCTTATCTTCGGATGCTGCCGCTTGTTTCGGTGCGCCTTTCTCCTCGCTGGCAAAGGCCACCACGGCCAGCGAAGCGACCAATACAACCTGTAGACAAGGAAATTACGTTTAGTAATTCTGAAACATCATCACTAGAAAGTAATCGATGAATGTACAGTTTATATGCCAATAGTGAGCGCAAAATAATTGCAATTGATTCATTGTTACTTCAGATGTCTGTAGCGATGTGAGAAGACAAGAAAGTTCGTTTAGCGTTAAATAACAATGATATAAGAGGTTGAAAATCCTAAGCTAAGCCTTGGAACGTAAGAAAGTAAAAGTTGCATCGGACTAGTTAAACTCATGTCGAGACGGAATACAAAATTCACACTTTCACTCAATGTTATATCGTATAATCTCGATTCTTGATTCCCAACAGCATTGTTAGACGGAGTTAATAAAAACATCGACTTTGTTTCACTTCCTTACCTCGTTATCAATTAGCCGTGAAACGTGATGATACGCTCATTATAATTAGGATTTATTAATTAATTTCACACATTTGTCGAACCGTGTTACGATTTATTCGACTCGGAAACAATAAAAAATTCAACGGCAATTTATGAACCGTTTTGGAATTGAAATATAACAGTACTTATGAATGGTTAAAGACCAATTATGTTCATTGCGTACTTCGGTGACTAATTTAATGTTTGAGCATTTATTTTTAATTGCCTTTAGCTAGCTTTCTAAAGGTTTTTATTCATAATTAAGTTTGTAGATTACGGGTATTGCAATTGCGCCGCACACAGAAACTATAGCAGCTTAAGCAATGTAGAACAATTAGAAGATAAGATCAGTCAATTTGTCCGTTTGTCTTTTGTTTTTGTTCGTATCTCCCGAATCTATGAGATTAATTTTCGTGACTTACGTAATAATAATTCTTTGTTCAAAGTTCTTTGTTTTGTTATGACTGTATACATTTTTATTTTACTTTATGTTCATTGGTGATCTTGATACATTATGAATGAGAATTTGTGAAGAGAAGTAAATGTATTTTGTTTATTAACTCTTTATATTATCAATTATGAAATACATTCCTGATATACTTCGGTTGGTATTGACAGTGGGATTGAGTGACTGATTAAATAACGTACAGGCAATACTACAGGTCATAGCAAGGAGTGAATGCTACCCGCATTTAAAAAAGAATTCACTCAAAATTTGTAAGTAAATCAGAAAAAATACTATTATATTAGTGTGCACAGTCGGAGGTAAAAGTAAGTGCACAAAATAAACATCTGTTAAACTTTCATGCGACCTTCAAAAACAGGTTTTAGATTGTTATGGTCTGACTTTTCGACCTAGATCTTAAACATGTTGACTGACCACAACTGAAGTCATACCACGCTATGAAAACAAAGTCAACAGTGATGACAAATGTATTAATCAACATATATGTATTGATTGATGACTTTAAATAAGAATAAACAGAATGTATCTTTTGCTATAAGTCAAGTAGACATGATAAATGAAAAGTGAAAACTATAGATGTACGTGATTGGATTAAAAGTAATGCACTTGGGTGTTCCTTTTCAAAATTATCAATAACAATAAGTTTTCATCCATTCCAATGAAACTAACAGCTATTTAACAAAATGTCGATAAATCGTTAAACGTTGACCCACACTAGGATTTTCTCCTGTGCCGTGGGTGCGTTTAAAAACATACAAGTTCACATACACATGACACCCAGACCCGAAACAACGATCAGTAGATCACACAAAGAGTTGTTACGTGTGGGAATCGAACCCGTGACACGTTGCGTGGTAGCCAGTAGCCCAGCCACCGCGCCAACCGTGCAGTCAAATCAGTCATCTATAGCCGAAACATTTTGTAAATCAAGTTATAAGAACGATGATGTGTTATTATGTTATGTAAAAACCAACTCGCAAATATGACTAAGTAGACTTACTTTAACATAATATTACGTCCAAGAAATGCATATTACTGTTGAGAGTAGGAAGTGATTACGTTGTTATGAGTGATCGAGAGCCGGTAGGTGGCGTCACTTGTCGTACAAGTGAATTACGAGCGTAACGCAGATTGCAGAACATTTACTTTTTAATGTGACTGTTGATTCTTGGTTTCCTCTTGAGTTTGTGGTAATTATATATAATTATTGTCGATTCGTTAACGTTCAGCCTCTATCTGTTATTTCTAATTGGTTGTTTGTTTTATGTAGTTTAGATGCATGGAGTATGCAAGCTTTTTGGTTTTACTTCCGTACGCTTTCTTTTCTGACTATTTTAATAGTTGTTTGTTTTGCAAACAAATACTAAAGTAAATTGAAATGTATTGTCGTAGAATCAACGGCAAAATGTTACTATATACAATACTAGCTTCTGCGCGGCTTTGCCCGCACTAGCCTATGTGTAATTCCTTAATCTATCCCTGTTCCAAATTTCAAACATAACCCTTCAGCCATTTTTCATTGATTGTGATTGAGTAACAAATTCACAAACTTTCGCGTTTATCACTATCACTGCAGAGTATAAAACAAAGTCGCTATCCGCTGTCTGTCCCTATGTATGCTTAGATCTTTAAAACTATGGGACGGATTTTGATGCGTTTTTTTTAATAGATAGAGGGATTGTCAAGGAAGGTTTATACGTATAATACATGCATATTGCACCCGTGCAAAACCGGGGCGGGTCGCTAGTAATTTATAATATTAACAAAAAGTGTTCTACCTTCGAAAAATATGCTTTATAAGGATCAAAAACCTAGTTTGAACTAAATATAACTGTTGATTTCAGTACAACCAACATCACTTATACACTGTATCTCAACAAAAAAAAAATACAATAATTCCTTAGTTCAAGCTCATAAAAGAACAAGAAGCGTACTATTAATTTGAAGTTACACAACTCTATGATTGTCTAACATACATTTAACCTAGTTTTGAATATAATTACGCTAGTACATCATCAAGGTAAGTAGGTACGTACTTGTTGTGCATTCGGTCTATATTAATTACCGCATATGAAGAGTGAAAGTTGTTCGAGATGATTGTGGCGATGTGGTGCCTACCATTTGTTTTCGTTTTTTGACTCAAGTAGAATGATATCGAGCGAGATTTGTGTTAAAATGAGATTGAATGTTTAAGCGTTTAGTATGTTTGTCTTTTGATGAAGTAGAATCCTCTTAATTCGATTATTATTGGACTTATTGTTGTTTATTTTATTTTGTTGCAAATATTTAAAATATAAAGTTTCTTTTTATTTTGCACTCTAATGCCTTTCACGTGAATGATGCATAAAACCTCATTAAATTGTCACTACCATTTTATTTTTACTTCCATTTAAGAGTAAAAACTAACATATCGAGTAAACAAATCACCAACTTTCGCACCAATTACTTCAACAACTTTCAAAATGAAATCGTTGCGAGTTCCACTGGTAACGCAGTTCATATAGATCGGATATCCAGTGTCAATGCTCGCTAAACCAGTTGTGTGTGATCAGAATTCATATAAGCATGAGATTTGCCGTGAAACAGCGAAAACAGGTTCAACGTGCGAGCCTCCATACAAATTATACAACGACTTGTAAACAAAACGATTGTAAAAAATACCGCATCTATTTTTGAAAGTGTAGAATACGATATTAGTTTAAATTATTCCATGTTCAAATCTTATCTCCAATCTTTCTTAAAGAAATCTTTTATTTTTTATTCCAACAAATTAAATTTCACTAAAAAAACCCAAACATCAATTATTTAATCGACTATTCATATCGAGTCATTGATAGAAACGAACATCAGCAATCGATATTGTAAAATTTAATAACAGAACTATGACATAACGATTATTTACTCGAATGAAACTACAAAATTATATTATGCCATCGAAATCACTCGATTATAAATCGTTACGTTGGTAATTATACAGAGTGATTATGAGTAGGATGTATCCGTATGTGTCATAAGCTGTAAATAGTCGATGCGTGACTCTTGCGTCAGTAGTCGATTATCTGTGTTATGCACTAGTGTCATCGGTAATTCTTACTGCACTAATTTCAGCTCCGGTGCATCGTAGTCTGGTGGAACGATTGATCTTGTTTAATAAGGAAGATATGTATCAAAATTTATAGAATAAGTACAGTTTGTAATTTTATCGAATTTGGAACAAGTCTCAAAATAATTTGTAGTGACTATATTGACCATAGTTAGTTTACATTTTTTCTTAATCTATAAAGTTCTTATAAAGTTTCGTAAGTTCCTTTATCTTATAAAGTTTCGTACTTAGTTAGTAAATAAGTTTAGATAACTTCTTAGTCTGTCCTATCTATCATTACATAGTTTATAATTAAAGAAAACTTTATATAAAGTAACGTTCGTTTCTATAGCTTTTACAGTTTTTTTGTTTTTTTGTTTAATATATTGATTTTGTATCCAACTTCTGTAATTTAATCATTTACACGCAATCGTAGCTTTACTACTAATAATACTAATTAATGGCTGATAAAATTACTCAACAGGTACGAACCAAATGTAACATAGAATAATTAATAGTCTTTACTAATTGTATGACAACTAACAAGTAAGAATTAATGTTGACTTTTGATCCTGGCACTAACCCACTCACCGAGAATTCATTATTCATAATGAAATTACTATTACACAATCTATGACTCCGATATTAATATTAATTTATGAATGTTAAATCTGCATGATGTATTTTAATAATTTCCTTCTCTGATTTGACAATCTCTAAATATTTCCTCTATTGAAAGTGAAGCTATTTGGAACAAAAAAATGCAAAAATAGAAACAAAGAAACGGACTGATGAATCTGATGATGAAGAAAAAAAAGGTTAGAATACGACTTATTTTGGGAGATCTGATTGTATCTACCGTTAAATAAATAAAAGAATATAATATTTACAGAATAGTTTGCAGTTAATTAATACAAAAGTGATTAAAACACAGTAATATTTTATTATAAATATTATATTGCACTGTCCAAAGAAAAATATATTGACATTGTTCTACTCTTAATACTGGATCGTATTGATCTGTTACAAGACTTACAAGTTATGCGAAATGCAGTTTTAGTGCTCAAAACGACTGATTTTCTAATACTGCACTCGATACAACCCGGAAAACTTTGTCTCAACCTACTTTCAAAACACACTTAGCAAGTAGAAATTATTCAGTAAATCATTATATTATCGTGATTTGCATGTTTATGTCGGAAATGCATATACATATTATCTGTTTGAAGATTAGATAACAGTTTATTTATAATTAATCGACTAAATATATTAGTCGAGTACATCGCTCAACACTATTGAAACTTTTTTGTCCTATGCAATTATTGTGGAAGTTTTTGGGCGGTTCACACCACGTTAATTAAAATGAAAACGATTTACAAAACCTACAATGCTAAAACATATAAATACGTCTAATGTAATAAGGATTGATAGGACTTATCATTAGCAATAATCCTGTGATTTAAAGTTAGACCTGAATTTGCCTTATCAACAAATCTTCGAAGAAAAGTCGCATAGCTACTAGATATAATTGTCCTTTAAAGATTTTGAACATTATCATTCTGTTATTCAGTAGTGCAAATCTTTTTATCAATCGTTACCGTAAACTGATTTTTAGAACTCCAAAGAATAACAGTGGATCTGACAAGATCTGACAAAACTATACTTTTAGCCGAATCTGATTTTCGCAGCTAACTCTCTAAGTAAGTATGTGTTTAAACAAAAAACGAAAACTCATACATATACAAGTTAATAATGGTAATCAGAGCAATTCTTACCTAAACACCGTATCTCCTATGGAACGGACAATTTTCGATACTTTCTACTTTGCAAAGGAAAGTGAAATGAAAATTATAGTAAAACCGGTTACTTGAGGAAGGAAACTGATTATATGATAGCGTGGTTAGTATTATAATGTCATATTATTATAGTCTTACTAGCTTCTACCGAAGGCTTTGCCCATGGTAAAATAATCCTATGTTACGCCTTAGCTCTTCTGTGTCAAATTTCATTCAGATTCAGTTAAGTACGTTTTACGTGAAAGAATCAGGGGTATACTTCCTTATAAACTTTATTAGTTTTAACTTTATTATAAACTTATTCATATTTATAATCCTGTTGATATCAGATATGCGAAAATGTGTATAGATGGTTAGTCTTTCATGTAAAAATACGGTACGAATCTTGATAATACTTAGCACCGAGATAGACTGTAGTTCGGAATAAGACATATAACTTCTCTTTGCCCGGATAACGAAAGCGAGACTGCAGGCAGAAGCAATATTAATTAACTTAGGAAGTGCAATGACCTTTATTCATTTAATGTTGGGAAAATCTTTTTGTTTATATTTCTTTTTGCCATCTAAGTATTTAGTCATGTGAAAAATGTTTTCTTGGTTTGTGTTTTTTTAGTCTTCACTTGTACGATGTACTCCATTGTAATCGTTGGTGGATAAAATTAGCTCTCGATTTCTATAATTTAATTTTGTTTGTTGCTTTTCAGTGACGTATTGCTTGTTCTTTGGTCAAGATAGGAGTCTTGTGGTTAGATTCCCAAGTTGCCCAAAACATTATTATAACGGCAAAAAGTTCAAGTCCTATTGTTCTCTGTCTACACCTTCGAAGATTAAAATGTGTGAAGCAATGTTATGTTTTGTGTTAATGCGCGACTAATACAGCTCAAAAAATCTAAAGTAGTATTTATTTTAAGGATAAAATTGAGATAAACCACAATATCGTCGTTACTAAACTATGCAAAACCGCAAGCTTTTACGTTACTAGTTAAATAATATTTTAAATTATTGCAAGAGTGTATTAAACTACTTGAATTTATATGACGACAACGTTTTAAACTAATTATGAAATAAATTATAATAACTAAAACAAATAAAAACTATTTAGTCGATTATTTTTCCCTAAAAAACGCAAAAAAGAAACAATGAATAACCCGAAACTTAAAACAATCGACCGCACTTACGAACTTTCTATTTTTGAAATTTAAATTTTAAAATACGAATGTTTTTTATTCACTTTTGGCACAAACACTGGCACTGCACTATTTTGTATGAACTCACCAAAAACTTCATGTTGCTGTGTGTCTTCGTTCGTTCGCCGAAGACTGGTTGTGTGAAATGACTATGTTACCATCTTGTTATATACCGTCCCTCCCACTTTTTGAACGGCTAAGATATGCCCGAAGAAGGGTGAACACTTGGGCTCGATAATGACATGTATTAATTGTAACTTGCACTTATTATCTTGCATTCAAAACTAGAGCAGTCGGATGTACGTAATTTTAACCAAGATGATAGACAATCGATTCTAATTAGTCGATTAATTGAAACTGAATTGTTTTAGTAACATTGAACTCTTTACATTGAGTTTTTATGTAATTAAAAGAAATGTTTACTGTAATAAAATTTGCATAAAACTACGCTAAAATTGTTGTTCTTTCACTACATTTTTAATGTCCTTGAGTGATGTGAAAATGCATCTTTTAGTCGATTTTTTGTAACTTAGTCAAGGATTTTGAAAAGTATGTCGTGCATGTGCATTTAAAACTGGTTGTTTGTTTAATCTGTCAGATTATAAATAATAACATACATAGTTATTTATAGTAGGTATTGAATTAATTTTTTTTGATGATCGTAACTGTACTGTGAAGTTGAAGTTACCACATTCGTTACAACAGTTATATTGTTGAATACTTCAAAAAATTCTATTGCTACTAACCTACTTAGTTAACTATAGCAATAGGTACTTTGTAGTTGGGGAAAGAATTTATACTGGGATCAAACCTCAGGTTCAAATACCTAAATGCAGCATAGATCAAGTTAAATTTTAACGAAGAAAAATTAGCTTGAGATTTTTAATTTCCTTTAAGTTTTATTTTGTATTAAATAGATATGGAGTGGGGACCAAACCAGTAGACAGAGCATACGATTGCAAGACCGTTCCTAATCCTCTTCCGTATAACACTTCATATCTGCTGCTCATACATCCAATAGCAATTTATACGTAGACGGAGTGGTAATTGAATTCTATGCAAATAGGAAACAAAAACTCATGTTGTGTCCTCCGAGTATTCTGTAAATCTAATTAGGTGTCGCGGAGAACCTAACGGGTTACCGAGGCTCCAGCTCGAATCGCAAGTCAGTAAGAATCTGACACTCCCTCCCGCCTCGCCCAGGCGGGAGCAGACATTCGATGATTTTCCCTACTTAAAAAAAATCTAATTAGGTATGGTTAAAGTAAGATATTTTCATGGCAAACGCAATAAGCATTACTATGGGAGAATTAATCTAAGTTATCACATACAAACTATCAAAACAATTGATAATAAAATAACAATATTGAATGCAGTTCTCATTTGACTAATTGTTGTAAGATAGTGATTTGTTAAGCAAAGTTTTTTGCTCAAAGACAATGTGATCTCCATGATAAGCTACGGTTTTGCGTAAACTGTAAACTTAAGGATTTGTAAATTGTAAGATAATAAATAAGATAACATAACATAACTTCACACCATTTAGTCTCTGAACGGATAGGTAGACTGTAGTACACATGTCTCCTGACAGGGGGTGGACCTATTATCATATTATTTTCTGTGATTATATGATACGATATGTGACTGCCTTGTTGGCCGAGTGGTCGCAAGTACGACTGCCGGGCAAGGGGTCTCGGGTTCGATTTCCGGGTCGGGCAAAGTAATACTGGATTTTAAAAAATTCTCACTAGTAGCACGGAGTCTGGAATTGTGCCCGGTATATGGCAATAGGCTCACCCCCTATTACATGGGACTCATAACATAAATAGTGAAAAGTAGGTGTTACATTGTACAGTGTCATAATGTGCTCCTCTGCCTACCCCTTCGGGGATAAAACGCGTGATATTATGTCTCTATGATACGATTCCAGTTCTGCCAAAACAAATGGCTTTCCGGCGTAAAATACCCAAATTTTACTTTAGTCTGACCTGAGAAACGAACAGGAGACACAGAATATGTAAGTAGTAAGATATTAATTAAGATCATAAAATACAGTGTACACAATCTGAGTGTAATCTTACATTTTTGTGTGTACATTACGTATTGCGTGAATTTTGCTCTTGGCACATAACGTCCTAACATTGTATTTGTTACTTTTGAATTGAACCTTAACAAAGTTAGTTTAACATTGATTTTACAGTGAATCTTTATACGTAGCTATTTGCTTAAGTGCAACATTTTGCTATGCTTTTAGAATTCATTTTTCATTTTAATAAATGTTAATTTAAAAATATTTGACAATGTTATGCATGCTTTGGTTCAAAATTAGCAGTTAAAAGAATATTTTGTGTATTTTTAAACTTATTTAGTTAAATACTACTCCGGTAAAAAAGTTTAATAATTCACTAATGTAAATCAATTTCATGCTACGTTCTATTTTTAGTAGAAACAAAATTAAATAATAATATTACTATAATTTAAATTAGTATAGGACGTAAATATTTGAAGTATGGTTTTTTTGTTAATAAGAAAAGGCAGCTGATATAATTCATAGCACATCATAGCACACGCGTAAGTGTTGAAGTGTCATGCTTCAGCACGAGCGGGCCGGCTGGACAGGAGTGATACCACGGCCTGACAGAAAACCGCCGTGAAACAACGCGTACGTTGTGTTTCGTCGTGTGAGTGAGGTTACCGGAGGCCCAATTAACCCCTCCTGAATCTCCCCAATCCCTGAATCCCCAACGATCCTCAAATTAGTAATACCCAAAAGGCCAAGAACGCACTTGTAACACCTCTGGTGTTCCAGGTGTCCATGGGCGACGCCGATTGCTTACCATCAGCTTATCTGTCAGCTCGTTTACCGGCTTATCCCATAAAAAAATTCATTGCCTTTTTATATACAGACAAACCAACATTTGATTTAATAAATCAAATCATTATTCTGATGTAACAGATTTTTGTTTCACGTAAAATTATGCAATAGTCAAAATAAATTTTTGGTCGTGTGACAGTTTTGAAATACCTAATGAAATATGAGTATGAACAACATCGTAATAATGTATTGCAAATCCCACAGTATATTTTAATAAAATGTATTTAAAAATGTGTTGTTCTGGTTATCTCTAATCTCATAATTACAAATTTGTAAAAATTCACCTTTAAACATTCATCTTTCCCGCCACTCTGTACAAAACATAACATGTGGTTTAACATAACATAACATTACGCCTTGTATTCCCGACAGGGTAGGCAGAGGTGAACGTTACGTATATATACATCAGCCACTGTACAATGTATCACCCACTTTTCACTATTTATGTTATAAGTCGCATGTAATAGGGGTGAGCCTATTGCCATATATAGCCATATACCACATTTCTAGACTCCGCGCTACTACTGAGATTTTTTTAAAGAACTCAGTGATACTTTGTTCGGCCCGGGAATCGAACCCGAGACTTCTCGCCTTGCAGTCGCACTCGCGACCACTCGGCCAATGAGACAGTTTTCTACTTTAAGTTTAGTGCCTTAGATAAAAAGCCTGTTATGATCAGTTAAAACTATTTTTAACATTTGTGCTTTGGTGTAATTCCAGTGTCGTCCTACTTTTCGAGTTAAGACAAATCAAAGAAAACAAAAATCAGCAGTACAATTCTCGAGTTATAAATTCAAGAATACTAATAATAAATACAACTTAGTTTAAAATCTGAAAATAGATATCTAATCTAGATTAATTTTATTTACAAAATTACAAAAATACACTAATTTAAAGCAGTGCCAAGATAATTACCATACTTATCTAAAATACTCGTGCTAAGCTGCATAAAAACATTTTTCATAATCGATTACGTCTTCATGATTCGATTAATCGTTTAGTTTAGTCGATTATGAAATAGTTAATTGACGTGCGATAAGTTGATCGATTAAAATCTACTATTGTTACGTTTGTTATAATTGTATCTGATGTTTGTTTAGTGAATATTTTTGTAGCCTAAATATACAACGAGAAATGGTCTGAGAATATGTTTGTTTGACATTTGTCCTGCAAGAACCAAAATAAAACCAGGACCTGTAATTATAGTTGGGCCTTCAGTAACCTCAGTCACACGACGAAACAAGGCAACCGTTGTTTCACGTCGGTTTTCTATGAGACCGTGGTATCACTCCGGTCGAGCCGGCCCAAACGTGCCGAAACATGGCTCTCTCACACTTAGAAGATTTATGGCAGCCTGGCCCTCTATAAGAACCTAACGGGTTACCGGGGCTCCGGCTCGGCACGTGTAGGAGAAGGCACGGGGTGGTTTTTAGTCAGTAAGAGTCTGACACTACCTCCCGCCTCACCCAGGCGGAAGCAGCCATTCGATAATTTTCCCCCTTAAAAAAAAGCCCTCTATAACGGCATTAATCTCATGTTTACATTTAAGTATTCACAATTATATATCTAGCTAGCCCAGAAACTAGACCAAAGTCACACATAAGTGTTAGTATACCAAATAAACAATCTCCCATCTTTCGCTGAAATATGAACGACCGTGGTAGCCTTGACACTCATCATTAGCAGTTTACATAATATTCTAGTGCGCATCGTTATCATTACCTAACTCCATTTAGAGGTTAGGTATTTTTGCTTCATTAATTTACTTGTTAATCCAACAGATGTCGCTGTTTTTAATTTAGTTTTTTTAAAAAAAGTGATATGGAAGGTTAAGACCTTCCATGAGTCTTTTGAAGACATTTTCGTCGACCGTTAGGGCAAAGTAGGATTAAGGGTCGTTTTATACGATAATACCCAAAAGGTTCTACGGTTAGTACCAGGTGCTACGAAAGTTTAGTGTTCTGTTCTCGTTTAAGTGTTTCTATAAGGGTTTTCGATTTTGAAATAACCGTTAATTGGTGAAATCTAGAATTGTAATTAAATTTTTAATCAAAGTTTAAATCTAGATTTTACTTCACTACTTGTATTGTAATCTTACCATTTATTTGACGGGATGAATTAATCGGAATAAAAAAAATCCCTATCCCTTCAGGTTTATCTTAAATCTCTTCAATCAACATCCAGCTACAGAAGAACATATAAGCACATTGCAGACCAATCTTTATGCCAAGTTCGAAAAAAAAACAACTCGAGGAAACAAAGCTTCTGTCACGCAACTCATAAAGTCAATGTTCTATGGTGCAACGCCCGATTTTTCGGTATTTCACCAAATAATAAAACGTATCGACCTTCAATTTGTAACGTATGATAAAACATAATATAACGTATGACTCAGAACACAGGAACTACATTA